GGGGGGGGGGCGGGACTGGGGCCAGCCTGCACGGGCCCTGGCCAGCAGGTGGAGGTGCTCCAGCAGCCTACGAGGAGGCTGCCAAACTTCCCCTCTCCCCATTTCCCCCCATCTTAATGTAATACCTGATTTAACCAGGGTTAATTTTTCATGCAATTGGCAATTTTAAAAGTGCTGCACAGCCATGCGTGTGTGTTAAGTAACAGCTGTAGAGCAGTTTCAGGAGCCAGATGACTCAAAACATGTCACTTTAGCCTGAGCTCATAATGTCATCACAGCATCTGATGAAGTGAACCTGGGCTCACAAAAGCTTATGCTATACATCTCCGATTTAGTTGGTCTATATGGTGCAAATTTACTCTACCTTCTGAATGGAGGAGCCAGGCAACAGGTCCTGGATCTGAAGATGCTTTGCTTTGCAGGGGCAGTCACATGTCAAGCTCCTGCAAGAAGACACTCAAACATTTGGTTTTAATAAGTGTAAACATAGATGTTCTGTCAGTTAAAGCCCTGCAGAAACAAGAGAATCCCAGTAAAAATTGAATGGCTCAGCAAAGAGTTTAGAGTGGGCTTTGGGAAGATGAACTTTTGGGTAGGCACATTAGCAGCAGCAAAGTATGGTCCCCACAGCATGACATTGCTATCAGTTTGATGTGCTACTAGCAGTGAAATGATGAGCACAGTGTAAAGTTTCATGATGCCACCATAACTCCAACTATAAAGCTAGCTCAAGGGGACAGAGTCACATGACATGGCTGAGCTCCACAGGTCAGCTGACATTAAAAAATGGCTTGCAGAGGTAGAAAGCATTCAGGGTCTTCTCTGTGCATGTAGGCAGCAAACACATCTTTGCCCAAACTCAGCTGATGGGAGATATGGATTGCCAGGAATACAGGCACGAAGCTGATGCTACCCCACTTACCACAATGCTGAATGCTGCCTTCCAGTCAAATCTCATAATAAATATGCTCACCAAATATCTCTTCAGAAGGATCCAGCAGAAATGGACCAAAGAGTGTAGTACTAGATTGGACCTTCTGGGTGACTCCATCTAGTATTATGGCTTCATATGGAATATTTCCTGTGCTGTGGCAATTCACTCCCTACTTCCAAACCCCCCTGGAACAGCGAGAAAGTTCATCAAGTGATTACTCGTGGTAGGATGTATCTGGCATAGTAATTTAAATTCCAGCACATGATTTATAGACCATAATCTTTGACATTCATTAAGGTGCTGGTGTTCAGATTGCACAAATTCAATTCTAATTCTGGCCTTGTAATAAATAATGTTCCTTCACTAATGGTTCTAGAGGTTTGACATCTTCCACTGTTAATCAGTCCAAAGGTGCAGGCACAGGAGTTTGTGCACAGGGCCCCCCTGCTTGCTCCCTGATGGACCCAGAAGTGGACTGGAAGTACTTCTGGTCCACTTCCGGGTTCACCACCGAGCACATGGGGGGCCCCCCACGCTCCTGTGGGATGCTCCATGCACCCCAACATCACAGCATTCACAAGCTGTGCCTGGTACCTTGAGGTATGTAGAAAAAACTTATAAAGCTGTGTCTACGGCCGAATTGCTGATTCTCCAAATCAGCATCGAATCTTCAGATTCAGTTTTGGCCGGATTGAACTGGAGACAGTGATCCAAATCAATGAATCGAATCACTGTCTCTGATTCGGGCCAGATCCAAATCAAATATGGCCCATTTCACACACCCCTAGTGGTCAAGGCTAGAATACAAATTCCCTTCATTCTAGGACAGCATCCTTTTCACTGAGCCACAGTCCCTCCAGGTTGTACTCTTCCTCCTAGTCCAACATTTTTCTCTCTTGGTTGAACAGTGGGCTGGGTTCAAGAGGAGGGCTGGAGAAGCATCTTGGTAATGCTTAACTTGTAGCCTGGTGGTTAGAATGCTTTGCTGAGAAGTAGCAGAGGAGGGTTTAAGCCTCCTTTGGGTGAGGGGGATGTAAAAACCTGGGTTTCCTTTCCCTGAGCAAGTGCCGTTACATCCTTTTCCATCATCTAAAATCTGCTTGTGTGGTTTTACTGTGGCCAGAGTTTTGGTATTACACACATGCCTGGGCAAATTCTGTTTCTGTGCTCAGTGACCCAGGCAGCCAGAGTACAGCCTACTGTTTATGCTTAGTAGGGAGCCACGTAGTGCTCTGAAACCCAAACTGTGCATAAATGCCAAATCTGCAGTAACTATTCTCCAACCATTTGGGTTGGTCTAATAAAAGATATCAAATTCACCCAAGGAACCTTGTCTGCCTATGTCCTTAGACCAACACGGCTACAACCCAAACCCCTGCAAATCTGCAGTTAGGCAGCAAGTGCCACTTTGGTACGTGTAGGTGAAATAGGGTTTAGCTCTTCACATGTGAAGCACCAGAGATGGAGTTGAAGAGTCCTCTTGAAGAAGAGGAGCTGGACA